CAGCGAAAGGCATAGATGCCTTTTTTCCATTCAACCATTGCTCCAGTGCCGTCCCACAAGAATTGCAGCATATATGTGGTGCCCAGCTCTTGTCCTGGTCTCCTATCCTGCAGCCAAAATACAAGTTGAAGGCTTTCTTAATCATTCCTGTTATCCTCCTTTTTTGTGAGATAAAAGTTATTTCACCGCAGATATAGCAAAAATTATCTGCTTTATTCACACAAGTTCGAGGCATTACTGAGTAGCCTATATAAGCATAAAACGAAATGTAAAGACGCTGTCGAACTACAATCAGCTACAGATACTGCAGCTTTTATGCAGTGAAGTGATGCAATTAAAGGCAAATATTGCATCATCTCAGTATACATGCAATTTTCTATTGGTCACCAGTATCAATTGCGCAATATGCAGCTGAAGTTGCATCATAAGTTTGAATGGCTTACGTCATTAGATGGGTGAATATATCATGGAAACTAGAGCCAATCAACATTTTTTAGGGTCATTTTCGTTTTCAGCACCCCAAAATTATGTAAGATTAGCTAATTTTATGCCCAAAACTTTTTACCTGTTGAACAGTGTTATTGATATTTTTTATATATTTGACTGAACTATTATTGCTCAGTCTATACTGGTTGTTTATTACTCAGCCGCTGTGCGGGCGATTCGCATGCTTGACTTAGACCTTTTTTATTCCTATTGTTAAGCCCAATAAACATATTGAAACAGAATGAAGTGGAGATGGGAGATATGGGTCATTGCAGAGGTGAGCAAAACAACCTTTCTAGTGCAGAAAACTGCTATTAAATTGAATGCCATTTTTTTTTCATTGTGATAAGGTCAGGAAAGGTTATAACTCTTCCCAGTTTTTTTCTTTTTTTTCTGTACTGTATGAGGTTTTTTCATTTTACTATTAGTAGTGTTGGATTCTACTTCATGATGCGATTTGCGATTGAAAATTTCCTGTGGATGTCTGTATGTCTATGTCTATCCAAGAGAAAAGACTGAATGAAACCGCCTAAAAAGGAAAAAAGGCAGCTATATTGTTCCATACAAATATCCCCAAGGACATGACTTGTGAATATTGCATCACATGACCAAGTAGAAATGTGAAACAAAAGAAATCCGTGTTCTAGACTAATATTTGTCCTTTATGATAAGATAAAAGCTGTGAGGTTTATATAGCAAAGCACATGAGCTCAACGTCTTAGAGGTGGTTGAAGCATGAAATGATCAAGAGGCATAAATTTGGTGCCGTCCTCAAAAGTAAGTACACAAAATTAGTTTTTACACTATTTATTGTTTGAGACATATACAGTGTATATATATATATATTACAGAATATATATATATATATATATATATATATATATACATACATATCTGTATATACTGTATATAAAAAAAAAATTCCACAAATCCAAGCAGGGTAAACCTCTAGATCGCTAGATGGATAACCTTGGGTGCTTCTGCAACTCAACCGACCTCCACAGTCCAAAAAGTATAGTACACTTGTTTAAGTACTTGCCATGCTTTATTGTTATAACAAGTAATGTTTACATTTCTTGTGATAGCAATTAAAGTGATTTAAAGAAATTGAAGGAACAGTGTAAAAATAAAAAAATAAATTTATAAAATAAAATTTATAAAAAACATTTTTAAAGCGCCCTTGTTGCCCCAGTGGTGAACATATACATAGGTCGCGTTCACATATGTAAATGGTATTGGCACGAACATTATAGTGACAGTAATAATTCTAGCACTAGACCTTCTCTATAACTCTAAACTGGTAGCCGTAAAAAATTTTAAAGCCTTGCTTATGGAGATTTTTAAGTAGCCTAATTTGGAACCATTCCACGAGCGTGCACAATTTTAAAGCATGCCATATTAGGTATCTATTTACTTGGCTTAACATCCCTTTTAATATTTTACCAAAAAAATTGGGTTATACATAGTGTTTTTTTCCAAATAAATTGCGTTTGAAAAATCATGGCGCAAATACCATGTGACATATAAAATTGCAACAACACCATATTATTCTCTAGGGCCTCTGCTAAAAAAAATATTTAATGTTTGGGGGTTCTAAGTAATTTTCTAGCAAAAAAAATGCTGATTTTTATTTGTAAATAAAAAGTGTCAGAATAGGCCGGATCTCTACTGTGCAAAGGGCAATTGAAAGCTGATTGGTCACTATATGGAAATTTCTTGCTAGTGCTTTTCATACATAATCTGCATAATGGGTACAACTAGAAATAAAATATAGATGACGTTACAGAGATGGGAATTCTAGGAAAGTAAGTCTGTTTCATAAGAAAGGGTCATAGGTTTCTTATAATATAGATATGCTCAATGGCCAATTTAGATACAAAGAACACAAATATAGATATCTTTGTAAAAAGTATTCGCCACCTGGAGGTTTTCATATTTTCTTGTCATAGGACATTCACGGAGGATTTTCTTTTTTTACAGTACAAATAAAAAAAACAAAATATATTTTTGCTTAGGTATACAACCCCTTTAATATTTCACATCTAAATCATCACTGGAGTGACTGTAGTATAGAAACGTACATCTGGAAGGTCCTGGTGAGTCAGTATTGTGGCATAAGCTACACCAGACACACTCCAAGCAAGTCAAATGAAAAGCACAAAATGGAGAATGGATACAAGAACATTTCCAGGTCGCTAAATATCCCTTGGAGTAGAGGGAAAAATTAGCCATCCAATAATGGAAAGTGTATAGGGAGCTGTATGAATAGGCTGTCTACCAAAGGTAATTGACTGCTTAAGAAGAAGACTAGTGAGGGAGATGACCAAGAGACCCATGGCCACTATGGGCCTCAGTGGCTCAGACTGGAGAGATTGTACATGCAACAAAAGTTGCCCGGGTGCTTCACCAGTCTTAGATATATAGAAGAATTTCAAAAAGAAAGAAATGCTCAACTAAAACCAGCATGATAACTCACATGTAGTTTGCCAGAAGGCCCCTGGGAGGCTCTGAAAAGCAAGTCAACTGAAATCAGTTCTATGGTATGATAAGGCTCCGTTCGCACCTATGCAGTTTGCTATATGTCCGTTTTGCGCTGCTTTTCGCAGTTCATTTCGCGTTTTCCTACACGCGTTTTTACCACGTTTTGTTCAGCTCTTTTTTTTTTTTTAAAGTGGAATTTTTTTTTTGTGGCCGGGCAGAATAAAAATGCAAAACTTGGCAATAAAGCACTACCATGCATTTCAGCAGCTTCTCTATTAAACTCTTTGCAGCAAAAACGAATAGGGAATAGAAAGAATGCACCAAATTACAGGGAAATCCTGGAAGAAACCCTAATGTAGTCTACATGAAATCTGAATCTCAGGAGGATATGTATCTTCCAGTGAGAGAATGCAGGGAATTTATCAAAATTGGAGCCAACAGAATCTAGAGCAGCTGAACATGGCAACCAATCAGCTTCTATCTTCAGCTTGGTCCGTTAAAGATAAAAAGATATGCAAACCCAACATTTCACATTCCTGATATGTACCTGCTGCACCATGTACTTGTATAAAAAAAAGTGTTCTGTTCTCTTTGTATTGCTTCCTTTATGTGAAATCCCTGGTGCTCCTGCCAGTTCTTCTGCTTGCTTTTTAAAAACTGACCACACTAGGCATGAGAATACAGTGTGGTCAGTTCTATAGCTGTGTTGAGAACTCAGTGTGCTCTCCTCCAATGGTCAGACTTGTCCTATCATGCTCTCCCCCCACCCCCCACACACACAGTCATTCACTGGGCTGTTCAGTGTAATTCTGTTTCTCCTCCCCCATCTCCTTATGCAGAGGAGAACAGAGGGTATGTGATCACTTATAAAAAGGAGGAAAAAGTATTTATAATGTATTTTTAAAAACTATACACAAAAGTTTTGCCTTTCATTTCTATTTTAAGCTGTATATGTTGATTTACAAGGTGAGGGTTTGAGGGTTCATATTTACTTTAAACTTTGAAAATTAAAGTTAAGAAGCTGATTGATTACCATGCATAGCTCCTCCAGATTCTGGCTGCTCCAATTTTGATAAATTCCTCTCAATGACCCTAAGCAAAAAGCCAAAACTACAAAAGAGTGACTTAAAAACAACAATGTCCTCCTGGAATGGCCAAGTCAGTGTCCACATCTCGATCCACAATAAAATGTGGGGCTTGACTTGAAATACGCTGTTCATTTGTGTTCTCCACATAACCTGACAAAACATGAGCATGTATGCAAAGGGAATAGAAAAAGATTGCAGTTTTTCAGATGTGCAAAGCTAAACAGAAACCTGTCCACATATGTTCAGAGTTCCAATTGCTAATAAATACTAAAGCCGGTCATACACGAGTCGAATTCCGAAATTATTTTCTTTCGAAAATCTTTTCTAAGAATTTTAGTTCGAATTTCGCACCATTAGTGGGTCACAGAAACGGCCGATATTCGTGTGACCATTGAATTTGAGTGATCGGGCATGTTGGAAAAACAAATGAATTTCAAATCAATGATGGGAGTATCGTGTGAGAAATATAAATTAAAAAGTAATGAGCATGAGCTGTGACTTGGAAAGAAAAGAACATTCTTGGCCACGAAAATTATTTTCTATAGCAGCACGAGGTGAAATTGAAGGCTTGGTTGAATTTGGAAATCAATGGTGGTACCATCGGATTACAAAATGCTCAAAATTTCTGATTTTCTAAAGAAAATTTGTTCGGAATTTGACCTGTGTATGACCTGAATAAGTCATGGGGAGTGTATACAGTGTTTACTGCATGCCACCAGCTATATTTTGTATTTTCATTACTAGTATATTTTTGTTGATTAGTGTAAAAAGAAAAACCAAGATGGAATCCATCATGACTCAATGTTCTATGACAATAAAGCATGAAAACTTACAAGGGGCAAATTTTTTTTTATGGGAACTGTATTGCATGCTTTGCTGTAAACAGTGCCTGGTTGGCTATGCCATAACACACAACTTTTTGTGTCCCTCAAAGAGTCAACCGACATGTATGTAAGTGCAAACTTCACGCAAACCATAGAAAATGCCTTCAAGAGAATACTTGAAAATTACTTGAACAGCTGGAACAGCAATAATACAAAAGCTGCAAAAAAGATTCAGAACACATTGAGCGAAGAGAACTTCAACTTCGTCATCCTCTACCTGATGGTGATGATCGGCATGTTCTCCTTCATCATTGTGGCCATCTTGGTGAGCACAACCAGGTCAAAGAGGCAGAAAGAGACAGATGAGCTTGATCCCTACAGCAGATATATTGCCAATGACTTCAATGACAAGACTGTTGGAGTGACACTGGAAAACCCTGCTGCCAGGTCTTACTCAGCTCCGCTCTCTCCATAGGCAATGGCTAGACAGATCAGAAGAATCCAAAGAATTCTGGCAACAAATAGATGTGGATAGATGTCAACCAGAGCTTGATACATCTAAACCCCAACTGGAAGACATTTTATTTGATAAAGCACTGTGTATAATAAATAATTGCTATGTTCTTATTTTCATACAGCCCTGTTTTCGTCTTTTTTTAAATTTTTGCTGCTTAACTCCTGCAGCCATTTTCACCCACTCTTTTGTCTATGTAGCTTTGCTTAAGGGATTTTGAAATAACACCAATAAGTCAAAGTTTATATTTAATTTTAGGGATTGGGTTTAATTCTGTTTTAGTTGCGATTTAACCACTTAACCTCTGGAAGGTTTTACCCCCTTCATGACCCAGGCATTTTTTTGCTATTCAGCACTGTACTACTTCAAAGTGGATTTTTAATGCATCAGAACACGAACCAAAAACTCTATTTAATTCATTTTTAACATACAAAGCAACCCCCCCCCCCCCCCCTGAATACATCCATGTCTCCATGCTTTATTTTGTTGAGAAATTACTTTGAAAAACAACCCCTAGCATTTTTGGCCATGACCATCTTGATTATGGGCAGATGATTAATGTGGCATTTATTTCCTGGAATCCATCTGCCCCTTTGCTCAGGCATGCAGGCAGGGGAGTTTGCTTAGCTGAGAAAACCCTTTCTCCTCCCCTCCCCTCCTGAAGACTCCTGGGATGTATGACATCATTTGCTTAGGCAAGAAACCGGGTTGTAACTGAAGAAGTGTTAAAAAAAAATAGTTAAAACAAGTAAATACTATATACTTTCCTATCTATGTACTAATGCTAGCAGCAGGACGATTTAAAATAATCAATGTTGACTGGGAGAGTGAAGTTCCACTTTAACTAGCAATTGCTTGGTCATGCAACACTGTACACAAATGAAATTTTCACACAAATAAAGCTTTTTTTTTGGTAGTATGTGATCCCCAAAGTTTTTTCTTTATTATATAACTGAAAAATACCTAACATTTTGAAAGAACATATGATATATTCTACTTTTTGATACAAAACATAGCCAATCAAATTTCTTTAGAAATTTAGGCCAAATATGTATCCTGCTACAAGTCTTTTGTAAAAACCAAACTAACATTTTTGGGAGCACTAGTTTAGTTCCTATAGTGATCAAGATACTGATCCCTACAAACACTATACTAGTAATGGCGGTATTCAGAGACCTATAGTGTGACTGTGATAGTGTGGCGGACAATCTTTCGCTAAATGACACTGGCTGGCAGGGACAATAACTGACACTGATGTCGCTAGTGACACTAATGCAGTGATCAGTGATGTAGCGCACAGACCGGATTGGGTTGGGGAATTTAATGCCAAGTCCTGACTCCTAAAGTGTACAAGCTACCAGGCTCAACGTATTTCCATCTAGGGGTATCAAATCTCATTCAACCCTCAGACAGTGACCAGGCAGGAGTTCTTTTCTTGATGTTTTATTTATTTGGTAGAACTGGGATAAAGATTGGAAAGAGCTTTGGGATGCCTGGAACTAAAGAACTTGCTGAGGACACCATCTTAAAACAAAGGAACAACACAAGGCAGGGGTTTCCTCCACAAAAGGGTAACAACAGCTTTCAACACAAGGGGGCTTCCTCTACGGTGCAGCCCAGGCAGCTAGGTCTATCCAGAAGGCGTGCACAAGTAACAGTCACTCACTCAGGATTCTCTGTGGCCTGCTCACTGTGGTTCGTATCACAAGGTATCCCAGAATGATCCTCTATGGATTTTGCTTTTACATTCCTGCGGGTTCAAAAGGATGACTCTTCTGCTCCTTGGTGAGGTAGAGACATCTGGGGCTTCTTTAGGCCTCTTCTGAGCCTAGGAAGGTTTGACAGCATTTCCAGGCTGGGTCAACCTCCCAAGGTGAAGGACGCTGATACTCTCTGCTCTCACCCTTATATACCCCTCTCAGCTAGTGGCCGCTAGTGGCCACTCTTCTCGGCCAGGGATTGGCTGAGTCTGTGTACAGGACCAGTTCAGACTCTACCCTCTCCTTCACTATGTTTCCAGAAGATTCTGGAAAGACCGAGGAAGACGGGCAAGCCTGTAGCTGCAGAACTTAGATCAGGCAAAACACAATTATGTCTCCACTTCTAACAGCAGAGCCAAAAATCGTATGTACTCTCCAGCACCTTAGGATATGCACAGCCAAAAGGGAAGCCAAGGGTACCAGGACAGCGACAACCAAAGGAAATGCTTCAGGGGTGCAGCCCTCCTCAGACGGGGAAATCAGCCACAACAGCAAGGCTCCTACTTTCCATTCATCATACATCAGCATCAGAGGTTGGTCATCAGCTCTGAGGAAAGGGATTCGTCCCCGAAACGCGTCAGCCATTTGACCGCACTGACAGTGAGAACACCTTGCCTGCTGTTGTGGCCATTGTCATTTTTCTATGCTTTTTAGATACATGCTTCGTCTGTGAGTATGTTTTTATTATTTTTTCACTCCTACAATAAACCTTGGATAATGCACTAGGTGTGTGCGCCACCTGTGTTTTCTCTCTATCCAGCAGACCCAAAAAGCTAAATTTGCTTCAATTCTAGTGCCTAATATTGATAATACTGCACACTGTATAATGAATGACACTGGATGGGTGACAGGAGTGATCAGGAGGGCAATCAAGGGGTTAACTGTGTGCCTAACAAGTGCATGTGTGTTGCTTTTACTAACAGATCATCTGGCTGGGCCTCTCCTTGCTTTCAGTTCTGAACAGTAACTGATAACAGGGAGAAATCCAGCCAGATCTGTGTGTTGTGGCTGGCCACCACCGATCACCAGATATACAGCCAAGATGATTGGCTGTAACCTGCTGACAAACTCGTGCTGTGTCCAATCATAGCAGGTCAGCAGGGGGTCTAAACCAGGGAAAAAAAAGTCACTAGCATACCAAGGAACCCTCAAAAAGGGTCCAAAGCTTTATTTAGTGGTCACATAATATCAACAGTGGCAACGTTTTGGAGCCACGCAGGGCCCCTTCATCAAGCAAGTGACAAAGTGCAGTGTAAACCAAGACATATTTAACAGACAATACGCCAATCAGTGAAGACAATCAGGGTAAAACCTGCGAGGGGACAAATGTCATTGGAGGATGGCCACACGCCTCCATATTGCTTAGTAATCAAATAAACACTTATGGAGACCATACGGCACGCTGTTTCCTCCATACAGTAAAAAATTAATATCTTCATTAATTTTAACGGCGGGAGGTGACCCTTGTAATGTATATTATTACTATGACATAATTATGGTTCTGATCTCTATGCTGACAGTTATTTAAAACTGGTATATTTGGCTTATGACGTCATTAGGACCCAGAAGGTGGGGTTTTTTTACCCTGATTGTGTTGACGGATTGGTGTATTGTCTGTTAAATGTGTCTTGGTTTACACTACACTTTGTCACTTGCCTGACGAAGGGGCCCTGCCTGGCTCCGAAACATTGCCACTGTTGATATTATGTGACTACTAAAGAACGCTTCGGACCCTTTTTGAGGATTCCTTGGTGTGCTGATGACATTTATTTCTCTTTCTGGATTGTTTGTGGTTCCCAGCCCGTGGTCACTACAGCAGCCAAACACCATTTAAAGCCATTCAAATGTAAGTGCAGCGCTAGAGCATAAGTGACAAATGCAATCATAAAGTGCTTATGTGAATAGAAGTGTTTATACAATATTCCAGTGAAATAAATCAAATGTCTCAGATCACATAGAATCATAAAAAAACGCTAAAATTCTGAATATAAATAGTGGATAGTCCGTGACACTGCAGGTCACAGAAGTGCCAAGTGATATAGGTGTACTTATTTAGCCGGAATAGCGATTATACATAGTCCGTGGCACTACAGGTCACAGCAATGCCCGGTGTTCGTAGAACTACAAGGTGCAACAATACTATCTGGGATGCAATATTCCACTGAAATAAATCAAATAAAACATCTCAGATCCTATAGAATCATAAAATCATAAAAAAACGCTAAAATTCTGAATATAAATAGTGGATAGTCCGTGACACTGCAGGTCACAGAAGTGCCAAGTGATATAGGTGTACTTATTCAGCAAGAATGGTGATTATACATAGTCCGTGGCACTACAGGTCACAGCAATGCCCGGTGTTCATAGAACTACAAGGTGCAACAATACTATCTGGGATGCAATATTCCAGTGAAATAAATCAAATAAAAAGTCTCAGATCACGTAGAATCATACAAAACTTTAAAATTCTAAATATAAATAGTGGATAGTCCATGGCACTGCAGGTCACAGAAGTGCCAAGTGATATAGGTGTACTTATTTAGCAAGAATGGCGATTATACATAGTCTGTGGCACTACAGGTCACAGCAATGCCCGGTGTTCGTGGAACTACAAGGTGCAGCAATACCAACTGGGATGCTCAAGAGTGATCATGATCCAACATAGGAATCCACCACCTCATATGGATGTCACCAGAACACTACTTGTATAATCGCGTTTGTGCTGATCCTTATGGGGGGTCTCAGGAAGCCATAAATAGGGACCGGACTTCTCCAGGGTCAGGACTATGCAAAACCAGCAAAAGGATCCTCCTAGAGGGAGAAGCTCACCACAGGAGCCAAAGGTATGGTAATATAGTGTAGTATTTATTGTAAATAGTTAAAAGCAATCCACGTGGATACAGCAAAGAGTTAAATGCATAAAAGTATACCAAAATGGCCGCCGCTCCGAGCTCCAGCCGTGGCAGCGTGACGTCAGCACATAAGGCTCCACCATTTAAAGTCACTTGCAGGAATGTGTCCATTGGGAAAACTACATTTTGATCTAAATCAGGTAATATACTGCAACGTACGGGTACGTCATGGTGGCTAGGGATGCTGCCCTCCAGCAGGTTGGTAAGAGGCAGGGGCGGACTGACAACTCATGGGGCCCCCGGGCAATAGGGGATCATGGGGCCCCTGTGTCCTTGCCCAAACTCAAAA